AGTTGATAGTTGTTGCATGATTATTTGAATAGAATTTAATACACCTGCATGTGAATTCTAACACAGTCAGCCCTCCAGATCCATGGGTTTTGCATCTGCAGATTTAACCAATCATGGATCAAAAATAATTCTAAAAAATGTAAAGTTGCTGATAGATACTATATAGTCAGGCCTATGATGGTTGCACCTATACTCACCATGCATGGATTATTTTTTTGTTATTATTGTGTAAATAAGCAGTATAACAACTATTTAATAGCATTTACATTGTATTGGGTATTATAAGTAATCTAGAGGTTAAAGTATATGGGAGGATGTACACGGGTTACATGTAAACACTGTGCCATTTTATTAAAGGAACTTGAGCCTCCACAGATTTTGGTATCCATGGTAGATCCTGGAACCAATCCACCATGGATACAAAGGGACAACTGTACTGTACCTTCAATCACAAGGAAAAATAATTTTACAGCTGTCTATTTGTTAATAATTGGTCCATGCAAGTTTTTATATGAAAATAGAGCATTTTTTCTGTGAAATGCAAGGATCCTTATGTTTAATTTCTATTTCCAACCCTGTGGATATTTGCTTTGCAATGTTGCAGTGGTTTTTAAAACCAGAAATTCTAAACTCTTTGAGGAATTTCAATAACTCTTGATAGTCTGTTGTACTGTCCGTGAGCACACTTCTACGTTGTAGTAAGTTACCGACAACATTGCCGCCTCAGTGGTGGCAGATCTTGCGCCCGTGCTCAGGCCGGAGGGTTGATATCTGTGCAGATGCTTCAGGGATGGGCTCCAGGGACTGATGAGCCAGCTGACCTCCCACCACAGGTCCCAGTGTTGCCCCTGTGTGGACACCTCCTTTCTCCCAGAGCCAGCTTCTGCTGCAGCTGCCTCCATTAACCTGGGTTCAAGTTCTGATGCAGACAGTCCGCTCAGGGACCCCTGGGGCCTCAGACTGCCAATGTGCGTGTGCATGTCTGGCATCCAGGCCAGCTGCCCAGCATGCATGGTGCCCACTGCTGCATGACTGACCTCCTGCACATTCATTTCATTGTTCCAGGGGACTTCACTTATAACACACAAGTTCAAAGATAGAATTTTTAAGACTTTCAAGATGGAGAGAGCAGAGCATTAAACTAAGCATAGAAGAGGCCCTGTACAATTCGTAGGTCACACACCTAGGAAACCACACCTGAGTCCAGTAATTCTCAACTGGGGGTGAATTTGCCCATGAGGGCAAACTATCTTTCGTTCTACCTGTGTGAGATTCCAATTGATCCCCTGAGAGCAAAAATGACAAGATATGTTAACACCCAAAGCAGGTCCTTATCAAGGTCTGGCATTCTCAAGCACAACAGGCAATATCCTCCCCTCTACACAGTGGTTCTTCAGTAGAATCTCCTGGGGAAACTCCAGTTCTGAGCTCTTCCTAAAGCTGTGTTCAGCTGTACTCACCTTCCTGGGGGACCTCGCAACTGCAGCAGTAGGAGAAGGCATGGTGACAGCAAAGGGCTTGGAAATTGCTCTGGTAAGACTTTGTTGCTCAAGTAACAGTCCAAGATGGGTCTAGTTTAGGGTGAGGTAGGAAGTGCCCTGCTCCACACAGTCACTCAAGGATCCAAGTTGCTGGTAGCTCCAACATCCTTCACTGGTGGCTTCAAGGTCACTGCAAGTTTTGACATCTAGTACAAATCTAGTCCAGGACTTGAAGGTGATACAGACAACTTCCTATTTAATTCCAGTGGTCAGAACTCAGGAATACTGTCATACCTAAGAACATGAGGGGCTGGGAAATGTAGTCCAATTCTGTGCATGGGATGAAGAGGAAGTGTTAGGATCTCCTCCCAGCCTCTACCACGAGAAATTTGGAAAAATGGGAGATTTGGAGTAAAATGTGTATTATACACCTCTGGGCCTTCCGAGACAGATCTGTTGGGGCAGACTGCCCTAGGGACAGCTTTCCAGCTGTGGTCCCTTGTCCTCATTGGTAGCATGGGAAGAGCATGGGTGGAGCATCCAGCATCAAGCAAGTACCAAGCTGACCGACACTCCTCATGATAGGTTATCAAGTTGGCTTTTGCACAACTCCATCTTGAGGGTACTAAGTGTGAGTTGGTTGCTTACAGTTAAGCTGATCATTGGAGTTCTGTATGTGTAGTTCAGAACTGTCAAATTCAGGACTATGGAGGTGAAAGCAACACTGAGATCATTCTAACCCTCTACCTGCCTCATATTAAAAAGAAAGTCAACCTTATAAATAGTAAACAAATTGAGTAGGTAGCATTAAATATTCAATGCCAGACAGCTTGTTTAAAACACATGATATAATTAATTTTGGTGAACTCTGATCTGGTTCTCCATGGCAAGCAGGAGAGCTATGATTATAGGGCAGTAATCCTTCCCTATTCCACCTTGTCAGTATTTGAGAGGACCAGGCTGGAGGAATTGTTGAAAGAGGGCTTCCAGCTCACCGGTCCAAGCCTTGTGGCAGAGTATCTGGAACAGTCCTCGTTGACACCTGTTGCTGTGACATAATCATTAACCTCCTTGCCCCGCCCCCTTCACTCTCAAAAGAGTCCTGGTTTATGCAATTCATTATATAGTAATCCTACAGCTCAGGAGCAGTACCTTTAAGTGATCACTGCTGTTTGCAACTTTGCAAAACCAGCAGCTCAGGGTTGTCAAGACACTCAGGCTGATTCAGGATTGAAGGAAGCTGATTCAGTCCCAGAAAATTACAGGAGACTTACACAAGAACATTGAGCTTTTGACTTATGAAGAAAAGTAACTGCCAAGCAGAGTAGAAGTTAGTATTGGTTTATTAGTGTGTTCTCTTCCTTGAAGGGTACTTCCCTTGGAAAACTCAAAATCCTTGTAATTATCAAAATTATAATTCTTATAAATGAGGAGACTCAAAGTGATCAGTGTTAGCTGGAGGAGCTGTTGTAATTTGCAAGACTTGTTTCAATACTCGGTGCCCATGCAAAGCATATCCTTTGTCCTACGAAGTTTTCCTTTACAACCAGGAAAGTGGCCTTGGTTCTCTTTCCAAAGTGATATTGGGATAAGTATCAGGTACAGGTAAAGAACAGGGCGGTCAGGTTCCCACTAATCCTCTGCTCTTTACTAATATTAAGCCCCAAGTTCCCTCACCCATTTGCAAAGCCTGTCAGGGCCGATGTCACTGACAGACATCCCCTGACGCCTGAGGGTCAGCCAGGAGCAGCCTTCTCCACTCCTTCCTTGCAACACTGGAGGTTGCAGAGATCCCCAACATGGAGTGCGTTTACTGTGAATCACATCCCAGTCCCCAATACACAATAAACACAGTGACCAGAAGAGGATTAAAATCAGTTTTATTAATACGTTGGAGAACACAGCTGGGATCTAAGGCCCAAGTGAGGCTTCTTTCCTCCTGAAGTGGTGACAGCTGAGCCCACTGGGCAGGGCTCGCCAGACTTACCCGCCCCATCAGAAACTGAGGCTGGACTGTGGAGAGCAGAGTCCTGGCTGGGCCCACCACGGCAGGTCCTGCTGGGTCTGTTTACTGCATGGAGACTGGAAGCCCAAGAGCAGGTCCAAGAGAAAGAGAGAGAGAGAGAGAGAGAGAAGCAGGAGGACAAGTAAGCAGGGACTTTTAGCACATTACCTCCACCCAGAAGAGAAAGTTGGCCCCAAGAATCTCAAGTTCATCAACCGCAACCATCCCAAGGTTACCCCAAAGGTGGAAGCTACTCCCCAATACTTTCCTTCCAAGCTGGAGTATGGTTAAGAGATCTTTCCCCTGTTTGGCTGAGCAAGAAATGATAGGAATGAGGAAAAGGGTTCCTGCCAAGGGGCACGGTTGGGTCAAGAACCTGGACCGCTCAATGAATCAGTAGCCCAGGCCATTGTGTGTGAGCCTTCCAGTCTGCAGACACTAGCCTAAAAACTGGCTAGAGCTGCTAGCAGCTGGGAATGCAGGGCCATGTCACATCATGCCTGAACACTAACCAGTGAATTCCTCTTCTTGCCTGTACTCTGTAGCCTGGACCTCTGAGGACTGCAGGGTATGAACTTGACAGACTTCCCACACCTCCCACACTCCAGTGGGTGAAATGGATGAAGGTCAAAAGGTACAAATTTCCAATTATAAATAAGTTCTGGGGATGTAATGTACAGCATGGTGACTACAGTTGACAGTACTGCATTGCATTGAAAGTTGCTAAGAGAGTAGACTTTAAAAGTTCTCATCAGAAAAAAAATTGTAACTATGCGAGGTGATGGATTTTTTTCCTAAACTTTGTAATATATACAATATATCAAATCGTTGTTATATACATAAAACTAACACAATGAAATTCATCAATTATCTCAATAAAATTGAAAAAAAAAATTTGACAGATTTAAGAGGCCACCACAGTTTGGGTACAATTTGACTGGACATGAATGTTGTTCCTGTGGTAAAGAGTCCCTTTTGCTTCATTCAGAATAACACCCTCTGATTTAACTGTCAGGTGTGGAGTTGTTAGCTTTGTGATGGGCCATGCTGTATGGATGGAAAGCTAGTAGAATAGTAAGAGTCTTTCAGAGCCCATGAACAGAGAGAAGTTTAGTGGCAAGTATTGCAGACCTGAGTCTGACATAGCTCTTTCTAGCACAGGAAGGCACCTTTTTCTGGCCTGCAATGAGGACGCACTAATTTCTAACACTCTGAAATCTTTCCTTCTACCTGTCATGCAGAACACTCCTCTTCTATTTTTTATTTCTCCAGTTATCTTAGTGCCATAGCTGTCTCTTATATTTGGGTGCATTTCCAGTATACTCAGTATTCCTGCCTTTAGCCAGGGTGGCTTCTGCAAAAGATTACTTCCATCCAGTACCTGTGACTATTTTTTTCATACTGTCACCATTCAAGGGTGACGTCATTTCATCATCCTAGATGGTGCCTTTCTGTACTTCCCAATAGGCTATTTATACAACTTAGCTTTGAATAAAACTAAATGATTGCAGAAATATTTTTCCCCAGAGTACTTTTATTAGGGATTTCTGCCACCATATTAACATATAAAACAATCTGATTGTTGACATAGAAATGCAAATGTCACTATACAAAGATAAGGCTCCAATCACATGGCCCCCATATCTCTAGTATTTCAAATTAATTCATTTTGAATTCTTCCCAGAGTTGATTTTATAAATATTAAACAAGCCACAAAATATACTCCAAATACATAACATTTTACAATATGTTCCAAGCACGGACAGAAACACAATATACTTGACCTACATTTTTTTCATGATCTAGCTCACATTAGCACTAAAGACAAAACTGTGTGTGTATATGTATTTGCCATATATGTGTGTATATATAACTACAAATGTACACAGTGATTTTCATGGAAAATTGAAACCTTTGAGACTTTTATCCACCATGATATCCAAGAGAGAAAAGGAATGATAACATGAAAAATTCCTCAATTGGGGAAAAGTAAATACAACTGTGTATGAAGGGCATATCAGTCGTATGTATACACACACACACACACACACATATACCAATAATATGGAATATACATATACTCACACACTTGCTTTGAGCTCTGTATCTCACTATATCATACGAGGGGGGGGGACCCAAAAAAATCAGAATTATCTATCTTCTGGAGGGAGGGCCCCTTGTAGCACAGGCTTTCCGTGCTAGGTGAGTGTTCTAGAAACCCATCTGTATCCATGTACCAGCTGGCATTGTTGTGAGAGGCTGTGTTCAGTTTCAGTGAATTGTTTTTGAAGACTCTTTCAGCATGTTTGTCCACTTCATGATGACTGATTTACGAGCACACCTGCCCACACTGCGCTGAGTGTTCAGCAGTTTTCACCCAAAAACGGCATGACCCTGTTTATAAATGAGTTAAGATCTTTAGGAAACCAGGCAAGGACCCATGTCCCACCCTCCCCATTCACCCGATCTCACCCCAAGCAACTTTTTCTGTTTCCCCAGCTGAAAAAAGTCCTCAAAGGGAAAGGTTTTTGCCAGTGTGGAAATGGTGAAACAAAAAAAAGATAGAAGCACTAACAGGCATCAAAATAGAGTTCAAAAACTGTTTTGAGCAGTGGGAAAAAATGTCTCGGTAGGTGTATCACGTCAAATGGAGAGAAGTTTGAGGGTGACTGAAGAATACATACACAATTTTTGTCAATAAATTCTGGGTTTTTTGGGTCCCCTCTGGTATACTTTCCATCTTGGAAGCAGTTTTTCCTCATTTCATTCAGGCAACTGGTGACTGCCTTCTACCAAACTAAGGGGTATTTTTAAAAAGGCTCTTATTCTATGCTGAAAAAAATGGCATTTCAGGATCCCACTTTTACTTTTGGTGGCTATTGTTTAAATCCAGCAGACCCTATCCTGTTAGCTCCTTCAGTTGAAAACATTTCTAGTCAATAGTCAAGTTTTTGCCAAAGAGAAAAGAGATGTTAGCTGAAAATGTTAAAAATAACATAGCTATTACCCCTTACTATAAATCTGTGCAGTTGGACTATGTGTGATATTTATCCTATCAGTATTTTTCAAATGTTTTATCATGGGCAATATATCACTTCTATAATTTAAAAATATTATCTAATATTATTTTAAAAGGATGAAAGCTAGATTTATCATGGTTAGAAATTGAAGCATAATTAGAAAAAGGACTAATTTATTGCAGACTACACTGGAGGGCCCTTCTATCATATAGTATGATTTCCAAGACATGTGAAAAAAGGGGGAAAAAACTTTAATTTCAAAGCTGGCCATTTGCAAACTTCCAAAATAAACCATAGGAAATATATCTGTATATTGTCAAATTTCAGATATTAAACATTAAAATGCAAAATAGATCACCAAAAGTACACTCTACCAACTTAATGCCAAATGTACATTATAAGTTTGCTTAACTGAAGGCTTCATGAGCTGACTTTTAAAACTCATTTTCAAAATTAAATATCTAATAAAGCACTCAGAGCTCCATGAATAAGTAGGACTAGAATGACCATTTAGGAAATTATGCTAACATAGAGCTAAAGTGTCTATTAGAGTTTGGGAGAGATTACAGGAAGCCCAATCTCTTGGTAAATGAAGGCAATGGAACATTTTGAATTCATGGAGAAATCGCAAAGCTCCATACTCTTACCTTTCTCACTTATACCACAGGACTAGTCAGGATGCTGCATGGGACGGCATCAGAGCCTTTCTGCCATGGATTTAATGGTATGAAGATAGGTACTAGAGAACATTTACCCCCTCTACTTCACCCAAGCTGAAATAATATATCATCTAATGAGTCCCCTCCTCTTTCTTAATGAGAGTCCCAATTATGAATGAATTAAGATCTTAATGAAAACAGGCAAGGAGAAATAATGACCACCGCAAAAGATCACTGGCATTTATCAAAAAGCCAGAATCCATTCTCTTCATTTTCTGTCCCCACCACGTACACAGACTTCCTTTGAAGTTTAGATCTTCCACAGAATCACAGTCAACAGCATAAGGGACCAAAAATGTGCCTTAAAGTTTCTGCACTTTTATTTAGATCCACTGTTTTAAACATATTCATGTCAACTTGGACAGCGAGTACACTGTTCTTTACATCATCCCACACGTTGTATCGCCATCACTTTCATAAAATTGATCATTTTCCTACCACCACTAGCCTACCAGCCTCACCAAAACTTTTTTTTGCTACTTGCTATTTGTCCATTTCCCATCTGCTTCCACTCTTGGGTTAATGTACAATAACATGCAATTAACTGGCATATTTTTTCACTTTTTTAGAGTTTCACTTTCTTTTAAAAATGTTCTGCTTCCTTAGCCAAAATATATAGGCAGAATGCAAATGAAAGAAACAAGTCATCTTGTCCAATACTTTGAAAAATTACCCACCCTGTGTCCACTTGATTGACGCTGTCTCTACATCCTCCATTTCCATCGTTTGTTTTAAGAGCTTACTTACTACAGTCTTTCTACCTATTTTCTATCTCATATGTAGCTAACAACAAATTATGGGATTTTTTTTTCCAGCCAAAAATATTTTTTTAAACAAACCAGTGCCAAAACATTAAAAAATTCCCAACATACCTTTTGTGCATTAGTCTTACAGTCTGTACAATTAAATAACTCCAGGAGGGTTCTTTTTTTTTTGCTAAAAATTTACCAAAATATTCTGAACACATAAAAATATTTTTAAAAAAACAAAAACCCAGCATAAATTTTAGTTGTATAGGCATTGGTTAGAGGACATTATTTTCACTAAGGATTATATTCAAAAACTTTCTCTTGGATTTTTACTAAAATTCTGATTCTGAACCTTACAGCTTATAATGATGCTAACTATTAAAAAAGGGGAAACCTACCTGCTTTAGCTCAATGTATTATGATATAATAGAAATGTATTATATAATAGATAAAGAGTATGCCTGTGATATAATAAAAAATAAACATTTTTGGTTATTTAAAGGTCATCTTCCTGACCTGTAACTAAAATTACTGTATTTGATTTAAACTTATTTAAGTGCAGTGAATTATGGGAAGCTAACTTAGAGGTCTGAATAATCAGTTTTGAGCAAGGAACACCTTTTGACAGTTCCATGACCATTCAGAACCAGGCATTTGCGAAAAAAACAAATCAGTAGTATTGAATATAGCCCTTAGTCATATGAGATATGTACTTTATGAGCAACCCAGCATGTAGAGAATGAGGTTCACTTTGCCAGCCACCCACTCTTTAAGAGGACAGTAATATTCATAGTGAAATTGCTCAAACTCTGGTGTCTGGCGGATTTCACATAAGAAGGAGAGATCAATACCTGACTCCAAAAGGAGGAGGAGCAGGGGGAATACAAAGAGCAGCAGGCCCAGACCCACCACAAAGAGCCTGGAAAAACTCTTGACCAGTGGGTTCACCCGAATATGGCCGCTCAGAATGTCATAGCTCCATGACAAAGCTTGATGAGCCTCCTTCAGCTCCTCTTCCTCCGCCATCAAAAAGGCATTTTCATCTGCTTCCAGTTCCTCAAACGAATCTGTGTCTTCTCTTTCCAACTCATGCCTAGATGAACAGTCAAAGAGCATGTCAATCTCCTCATCATCAACTGGGGTGGGGAGCAGGCTAGCACTTGGGCTGTATGCCAGTTCAGAGATAGTCAAAGGCTCTTCTTTTATTTTATCTTCCTCTTCACTTGAGGGTTCTTCATACACCCGGGCTTCCTTCACTGGTGAGCTGGAGATCAAGGGGGCAGAAATGTCATCTTCTTTGGGCAGAGGGATACCTGTAAAGAGACATTTTTTTTTTAAATTTCAAGTTTGGTTTTCTTTTCCATGAAAATCTGTAGATGGAAACAAACCAGGAAAAAAAAAACTTCAAATGGTTGGCAATATTTACATTTATGTGTGAGATTATGACCTTCAACTTGGGGCATTTGCAAGAATAAAGTGACAATAAATCACTATTATGTTATAATTTTGAGTAGTGTCTTTTAGAAGTAGGTCAAAGTATGTTAGTAAAATTATAGAATCTGCTATTCAATTATCACTTTGTTATATATTTTCTAATTTATGTAATTATGAATATGTGCACAAACATTTTAACTTAAACATTTTCTATGTTGAAAAAAACTCCCATTTGGTATTTGTAATGGCTGCCAAATTCTACTTAGTTAATACAATATTAGTTGCCTATAGATAAACATTTAGATTGCTTCACAATTGTAAAAAATGCTGTAAGAACATCTTTACATATAAATCTTTTTTCCTCTTGTTTTTCAGTTCATTGGCTATAGATAGATGTCCAAAAGGAAAACTACTTTGTGAAAAGACATGAATATTATTTCCTAAAGTTTATTGCAGAAGAGGTGTTCTCATTTTACAGATCGGAAATCAGTCACCTCCTGTCAGCCTAATGCCAGCTCTCCTAATTTTGAGCCTTGGGTACTCAGTGGGAAATAAAAGCAGGATCAAAGATGTGTTCCCCAGGATGATTCTACAATATAGTACCAAATTGGTAACCATGTGCATTACGTAACTGAATACATTTCAGGATTTCTCTCTTCAATATGTGCAAGAAGTGACATCACCCAGATGGCAACATAGGTCATTCCTGACTTCCCTTCCCCTCACAAGAACAATCCGTGGACAAGACACCACTGAGAACATTCTGGAACACAGGAGGACGGCTGAAGCAGGCCCTGCACCACAGAGACCAAGTCAGACTACATTAGAAGGGTAAGGTGAATGGCTACATGCTGACTGCATTGCCCCCAGGCCAGCACAGCACCACACAGAGAGGTCTCCCCTGAGCCTATGGTGGCATCCAGGGCCCCCAGTATTGTGGGTCACTTCACAGTAGCCCTGCCTCTGGATTCACCCCACAGGGATTGCACGGGAACCTGCAGGACTCAACCACTGGGAGTCTGATTGTGATGGAGAAAGGGGGAGAGGCTCCCAACAACCAGCACTCAGATCTTAGCAAACTGCATTCCTACCTGCAAAGCCCAAGGAGTAGTCCCTATGAGCAGTTTTGCCTATCTTCAGAACCAACTTGGTGGCACATCTGACCAGGAAACTCAATGGGGAGCAGGTCTGCCTGATTTGGGTTCTCAGACAAGGAGTTTTGCCAATCCTGGAACCTGGTCTGCCCATGACGAAGAACTGAGTCATAGCCCTGCCCACACCCGATAGTAGGGGCTGGTGAGAACACCTGGACACTGCGTTACCCAGAAATGCTCAAGCTGAAAGGTGGATAAGCAAAGGTGATGGTCCCCAGAGCAAAATAAGTGGCCCTATACAACCAGGGAACTTGGGGCACTAGTCAGATTGAGTGAAGACCACATATGAAGAACCTTAGTGGCCTTGAAGCTGCTTCTCCAATTGCACCTGGGCAGGGAAACTCTTTCATAGCCTCAGTCATTGCTGAATACAGACTTCAGTCTGCCCAGCCAGGGACCTTTACAGAGCACACTGGAAGCTGACAGCCCATCAACAGTGCTACTTATAGTGGCACTTGAACAGAGAGCACAGCCTATGGCTTTTACTGTCTGCAGAGAAAAACTGTGGCCTTGCCAGGATATCCAATGTACATCCAGTGTATACTCTTGACAGATTCTGTTCAACAAGGAGTAGGGCAGGCCCTGGATCCCATCCTGTTGCTTCACAAGGGTAGGAAAGCTAAGTCATAGGCTCATCTGCTGCTGAGTATAGACAGTTCTGACTGTCTAGTAAGCCTGACCAGAGAATACAGGCAACCACAGAGCCCATCCTAGAGCCTCAAGTGGACAGAGAACCAAGGCAGTCCTATGCCACTGTTCTCATCCAGAGGCACACATCCCCAGTCCATGACCTCAGATCTTGAGCTGTTGTCTCCCCTCAAAATAAGATGCTAATAGCAGACTTCATTCATCCAAGAACTTTACCAGCAGACACATTCAGAAACCCAAACTGAGCTGATTGGTGAACAACTCTATGCCAAAGCAAATCTGCAAATCTGGGAGAGAAGGCCACTAACTAAAATACACAAATATCAACTAAGAATCAAGGATCACAAAAAATCAGGTAAATATGACACCATCAAAAGAAATTATTAAAGCACTAATAACTGACCCTAAAGAAATGGAGATCTATGACCTGACAAAGAATTCAGAATAATCCTTTTAAAGAAATTTAGTGAACTACAAGAACACATAGACAACTAAATGAAATTAGGAAAGCAATGAATGGACAAAACGAGAAATTCAAGAAAGAAACAAAAACCATTTAAAAAAAACCCAAACAGAAAGCTTAGAGCTGCGAAATACAATAACTGAATGGAATAATTCAATAAAGAGCTTCAAAATCAGACTCAACCATGCAGAAGAATCAGCAACCTGAAAGATAGGACATTTGAAATTATCCAGGCAGAAATGCAAAAAGAAAAATGAGTGAAAAAGAGTGAAACTATTCACATTATGGGAATTCCAGAAGAGGAAGAGAAAAAGAAAGGGACAGAGGTATATTTAAAACATTAATGGCTGAAAACTTCCCAAATATGGGGAGAGAAATAGACATCCAGGTCCAAGAAGCCCAAAAGACCCCAAATAGGACTACACTGACACATTATAATTAAATTGTCAAATGTCAAAGGTAAAGAAAATTTTTAAAGCAGCCAGAGAAAAGATAAACTGTATGTAAGGGAATGCCCATAAGACTATTGGTATATATCTCAATAGAAACTTTTTAGGTCTAAAGGGAATGAGATAACATATTCAAAGTATCGAGGAAAAAACCATCAACCAAGAATACTATACCTTGCAATGCTGTCCTTCAGAAATGGAAGATAAAGACTTTCTTGAACAAACAAAAGCTGAGGAAATTGATCACCACTAGACCTTCCTAATAATAAATGCTAAAGGGAGTTTACTGAATGGAAGTAAAAGAACACTAATTAATGTCATAAAAACATAAAGTAGTGTAAAACTCACTGGTTATGGTAAAAAATATAGTTAAAACTAGATTCTGGGATATGGTAATTGTGGTGTGTAATTTACTTAAAAATATGGCTTAAAAGTTAAAAAAAATTGTAAAAATAACCATAACTATAATAATTTGTTATTAGTTACACAATATAAGAAATGGTAAAGCAATATCCTAAACAGTGAGCAGGAGGAGAAGCGAAAGTGTAAAACTTAGGAACTGTCCTGAAGTTAAGTTATTATTAACTTAAAATAAGGTATTATGATTTCAAGATATTTATGTAAGCCTTGTAGTAACTACAAGGGAAAAACCTGTAGTAATTACACAAAGGAACATGATAAAGAAGTCAAAGCATACTGATACAACAAGACATGAACACACACACACACACACACACACACACACACAGCAGGATAAGAAATAAGGAACAATGAAGCTACAAAGCAACCCCAAAACAGTTAACAAAATGATAATAGTAAGCCCTTATCAATAATTACTTTAAATATAAACATTAAATTCTCCAATCAAAAGGCAGAATGAATGGCTGAATGAATAAAAAAATAAGATCTAATGATATGTTGCCTACAAGAGACTCACTTTATCCTTAAATACACACAGAGTGAAGGGATGGAAAAAGGTATTTTAAACCAATGGTATCCAAAAACAGTAGGGGTAGCTATACTTGAATCAGACAAAATAAAACATTAAACTAAAAATGGTTAAAAAATAAAGATGATTTTATAATAAAGGATCCATACATCAAGGAAATCTAAATTCTAAACACTTATGCATTTGTGTTAAAACTGTTAGGGCTCATTAGCATAGTATAGGTTTGTCAGACGATGCTGATATTTTCCCCTGGCCAGGCGCACACACACAATGATGAGCTCATCATTCAGCAGGATAAGCTCTCCAGCTTATTAACAGCAATGAAAGGAATCACTACATATGAATGTGTAAAAAGAAAAAAAGCATTTTTCCTCTAAAAAAGGAAAAAATATATATTCATGTGCTTAACATCACAGCACCCGAATACATAAAGCAAAAACTAACAGAGCTACAAGGAGAAATAAACAGCAATATAAGTCCCCCATTCTCAACAATGGACAGATCACCTAGACAGACAATAAGGAAGTGGATTTGAACAACACTATACACCAAATGACTCTAACAGGCAGTGACAGAACATTTTATCTGTTAACAGTAAAACACCCATTCTTCTCAAGTTCACAAGGAGCACATTCTAGAGTAGGTTATGTGTTAGGTCACAAAACAATTCTTAGCAAATTCAAGAAGATTAAAATCAATAACAAAAGGAAAACTTAAAAATTCATAAGTACACAGATATTAAACAACACTAGATGTTGCTAGCTTATCAAAGAACATTAGGCTACATTTGATCTATTATCAAGGAATATCATTCTATCAATAAGTAGATTCATTTTCTAACAAGTCCACTATTATAGAGTATAAGGAGGCTTATAGTTGGTTATATTTTCTTAACTTTCTTTACATGATAGATACTCAAAGTTTCCTACACAACTTTCCTGGTGAATTCTAACGAAAACATTTAAGACCAGAACTATGAAATTAGTAAGATTACCTGCACTGCTCCATTAAATTTATTTTACTTCAGTCACACATGAGAAGCCTCCTGAATATGTTCACAAAGTTCAAAGGCCAAAAGCTTTTTTAAAGAAGTGAAATGACAATGATTTAGGAAAGGAAATAGCTTTCAAGTTTAACTATACAGCCCAATTAAAATTAGATAATAGCTGTAAAATGTCTGACACATAGGAAACACTTAATAAATGTTAACTATTCT